AGTTTGTGAGTGATACAAAACTGAGAGGAGTGGCTGATACCCCAGAGATCTGTGCAGCCATTCAGAGGGCCCTAGGTAGGCTGGAGAGTTGGGCGGGAAGGAACCTAGTGAGTTCAGCCAAGGCAAGTCCAGGGTCCTGCATGTAGGGAGAAATAATGTCAGGCACCAGGACAGGCTGGGGGAGACCTGCTGGAGAGCAGCTCTGCAGAGAAGGATGAGAAGGTCATGGTGGACATGTTGACCATGAGCCAGCAATGTGCCTTRGTGGACATTTTGCACTATATGATCTCCAGAGGTCCCATCCAACTTCARCTGTTCAGTGAATCTCTAACACTTTGGAGTCTGGCATTGCAGCAGTCTCCATACAATTCCAAAATATGTTGGAAAATTGTGGTGGTCTTCTTTGTGGTTTTTACTGATTCAAGCCAAAGGATTTGAGCCTGACAAGGACCTTATRCGCAGTGAATCAATGAAGATGTTCTTGTCCCATACCTGTGAACCACTTAGGAAAAATCCTCAGATATATATGTACTCAATGAAATTTAAGATGCTCTGATACAATGGTAAATGTTATTTAAACTCACAGAACTGTGAAAGAAATCAGAAACAAAGAATCTTTCCTGGGCTTTTGTTTTCAACTTTGAGTGAACTAAAACAGTTACAGGCCAGATGCTGATCCTCAACATTTAAAGTTTCTTGCTCACTTCTGGCAGGGAAGCAACACATTTGCCTGAACCACATTGCTCAGAACATTGCTCAGAACAACTCACATGGGGCTCAGAGGAAGATATGCTGATAGAGACTTCTAGATCTGTCTTCACTGCACCAATTCATCAGTACATTTTAAGAATCCTTAAAACATTAGCACTTTTCCATTAACTGAAGGTATCGTATTTGTGTGAGAACCTGGACCACTTATAGCAGAGAATACATAATAGATTTTACTTCCAAGGAAGAGTGTCTGTGTAGTGGAGCATGTAGCTTCTCCATGGCACCATAAACTTATTGGTGGAGAAGTCAACATTGATAACTGAAGAGGATTCCACACTGAGTAATGTTGCTTTCCATCCCATTTCCTACCTTTGGATGCAAAAGACTCGAACTTCTGTTCCAAATTTTGATTCAAGAAGTTCTAAAGTCTTTTATCTTTATTTTTGTTCAACCCAATTACACTGATTTTACATCAATGAAACACCAAAGACACAAATTTAGGATTAGCTGGGGAAAAAAAAAAAAAAAAAAAAAAGAAGAAGAAGAAGAAGGAAAAAAGGTAATGAAGATGGGGAAACTCACAAAAGTTCTAAGATGCTGAACTCCCTTTGCTGGCCCAGAGGCTACTGATCAAGGGTAAGCTATGGAACATCATTTTCTCCAGCTCAGGGATTTAAATGTAATGAAATAGCAGCTCCAAAGGGACAAGAGTGCTTCCTCCCAAAATATCATACAGACTATCAAATGGGAGACAGAGAAAAAAAAAAAAAAAAAAACTGTCTTTCTGGATGGATGCCATAACCACTAGAAATCTTCATAAAAGAGATGACATCCTCTTCTTTCATCTTTGGTGGTCTCTTGAAACAAAGAATAGAACTCTTGTGTGTTTATTTAGGAGACATCTTAAGATTCACAGCCCTGAAGCCCTTCCTGGAATTAAATGCCTAAATGCTTCCTACACTAAACCTGCTTACTGTTAGGAAGATAGAATTTGCATCTCGTCAGCACTTCCTATGAGCTATTTGCTTGGTGCATTAAAAGTGGCTTTTCATCCCAAGCCTTTAACTCAGGCTTGTAAAATCCCCCTGGCAGAATTTCCTGGTTCCATCCAAGCACCCTGTAAGCCATTTTGTGCCCTCTTCTTCAGACTCATGAAGGCCAGTTACAACATCCCCCACCAGGTTAACTAAGCGATCCAGCTGACTGATTTTCCATTAATCTTCTCCTACCACCCTGTAGTAGAGTTTTCCACAACTTTAAAAGCCAGCAGAAAGCTTTAACAAGACAACTGTAGCAAACTAAATGCATTATGTGTGAAAAAAAACCAAAACCATTAGACACAGAGTCCAGCTGTCTTGCTTTCTATATTTCTGACCTTTTGAGATATTTTTGGTGTATTGCAGATTCATTTAAATAACAAACATTTTGCTTAGAATTCCAGGCTTGACTTGTGTCTCTGAATGAGATCTTAAAAGAGCCAACAGTCTACTCATATATCATGCAATGTTTTATTAAATAAGATCCTCTGCTGGTCACATTTTTGTTGAACTGATTATACATGCTGCACACACATACACTTTGGGAATCAGAAATAAAATGAGACTATATTAGTGCTTTCAAATGATGTCCATATTATCAGATACGAATTTTGGAAGGAGAAAGAAATGTTTGGAGCAGGAGATCTGTTGAAAGATGTGCTTACAGAAGACAAAAAGATTAACTGCCCAAACAAAGCACTTGTAAATTAGCATATGCAAACTGGAGTTGCACATAGTTAAGATTTTGCAAACTTTAACAGTCCCAAAAGAAAACAATCACAGATTGCCTCAGAGCTTGAATGCAGGAGTAGGAGAATCTAAATATGCAAAGCTCAGGTTGCTTCACTCAGCGCTGTTGCTGCAGGGCTCTTGTCTATAATCTAGCAATTACAATATTTGCCTACTAGTACAAACAATTCCCTACATAGCACTCTGCAGCTTAGTTGGATGCAAACAAGCTAAAGTCAGTAGGCCAAATTCTGTCTTCAGATACACAGCCATAATCCCACTGATACCTGTAAGTAATTCTTTCCAAAGGAAAAAGGAGAACTTAAGACACTAGTTTGGATCCCAGTGGCTGTCAGTGATAACAAAGTTGAGGTAAACAGAAACAAAGGAACCTTTTTACCTCGTGCTTTTACCTATAAACATGCAGAGAAAGCTAACATGGTGAGGGCAAAAATTACAGTACATAATCCAATTATATCAATACTGCTTGTACACATCTCAGAGCTATATCAGAAAAATGTCTGCAAAAACAGCAAGATTTGTAGCTCTCCCTAAAGGGTCTGGAGCCTATAAATTAAGAACTAATTTGATCAATGACCTAGAAATGTGTTTTTTTCCAACTATGGCAGTCTAGTACTGGTAATTATAGTACTGGTTTCACTTCTGTTTTAGAGAGCATTGCTTATTTGAGAGAGCATGAGAAGATGTGAATTACAAAGATTGTGAGCAGAACTAAAATTCCTGTTATTTCAAGTCACCAAATGTAAATGGTTCTGTGAAGTGTATTTTTTAAATTGAGCTAACTTTGATAGCAGAATTATCAGCCTGTGAGAACAGTGATTCATCACAGAACGACCAAATTAGCTTTTCATACCGCACTATCATGACTGATTCAAAGACAAATTTTAAAACAGGAATTCACTACAGCTGTGAGGTGGCTTTACTTACTGATGTAGCATTATTTATTATTTTGGTCACTGTTTGGTTACTCAGAAGCACCCTGCTTTTTCTATTAGTAATTACTAAAAATATTTGCTTTAAAGTCAAAACTAATTTAAAATGTTTGCAGAATATTTTCAAAATTCATCTTCATTGCATCTTTACAGTGGGAAAAGTTTTATTCTGTGTGCTAAATATACTACATTCCTGATCTACTGATGTTTTAAAAGCAATAGAAAAATCCATGTCTTCAGATCTGTCTAACTTGGGCTATCATTCACCCCAGAAATACAGGAAGTCTGTTCATTTCTAATTTCTTTAAAGGATTTTAAGCATTTCTTTAAGATCATTAATTCTGAAAGGATTTTGTTTATATTGTGACCAAAATGACTATCAGGAATAGCAAATAAATGGTACCAACCAAGTTCCCATTTTTCTTTCTACAAAGGTGTATGAATAACACAAGAAGACTCACTTTTTTGGCTTGGTTGAAGACTTTTCATCCAAATATTTTTCTTTGAAAAAAATGATTTTTATCCAATGGAAAAATATTATACATTCAGTGTACAAGCCACTGAAGGTAAAGTACTATGAAGATGTACAATAGGTTGTTCTTCTACATTTGAACTTTTTTCCTGGAAAASCTTACAAAAATAAATAGATTCAGGGAAAAAAAATAGAAATCTTCATCAGCTTGTAGGCATCTGTTTCAGCAAGACTCAGGCTTCTGGGGCCAAACATCCACTCTGTGCATAGCCCCACAGGAGCTCTGTGCACCCTAAGAGATTTCCAAGGCGAGAGGAACAACTGGCAGCCGCTGCCCGGTTCTAGGGAGAGCAGGAACCTATTCCTTGCCCTATGCCCACAGCATCCCTCTCACAGAGTAGAATCTTGTGTTGGCCTTGAATATTTAACACGGAGTCGTAGTTTTTACCTTCACTTTTTACTGCTGAGCTGGGCTTCTCTCCCTTGACTCCTGTATCTCAGTTAAATGGTTTACAGAAATCTTCCTCTTTCCCAAACCTGCGACTATGGTAGTCCCTGAGATGGCAGAAGCAACAACATATCATTGTGCCTTGGGCAGCTCCTGAAAGTATGGACCCTGGAACAATGACTGCTTGTGGATAACTCTGACTCTTAATCAAAAGGCTTGGGACCAGGATCTTTATAACCAAGGCACAAAGTATGCTGCAACTACAGACCATGTGCTCATCAACAATGTACTTTCTATATGTCTCACTTTTTTTTTTTGGTAGATAAAATGAAATTAATAAAATAACAGCTACCATGCTCTTTTTTTCCCCCAGGAATCCACTATCACACTGAGAAGTGGGTATGTGTAACCAAAAGTGTTTTGAAAGGTTGGACAAATGTAGTTCTTAGCAATGAACAGATGTTTCTGCTCATGCAGAAAATGAATTTAGCAGTAGCTACTAATCTTTGTCTTCTGCAGCTGCTCCATCGTGTGCAGTTGTAAAGCTTGACCTGATAATATCTTGCGCTTTTCTTTCTTAGTCTCTCTCAAAAACAATAAGAAAGGAAATGTCATTCCACTGCAAAAGGATTCAAGAGGATATATGTTACCTTTTGAGATGTGCTTCAGGAATTCTTGGCAAYACAGTCTTCTCTTTGTAGAACACTTTAGGATAAAGTTCAATAAACTTTTGATGAGCTTTTTCGTCGATGCATGGATCATTACTAAAAAAMGTGAAAATATAAAAGCACACAGGCTAGAAATAAGCCCTAGACATAATGCAACTAAGAAGGTCAAGTGATGTTTTTCCAAATGAAACAACTACTACCTTAGGAATGTGCTTCTCATAATAATGTTAAACAATTGAATAAGAGTCTGCAAAGAAACTTCAAAATACTAGCAGAAGCTAAAATCATTTTTCATGCAACACTTAAAATAAGACTTTCTTTGACATACAGGGAGAAAATCTCCTGTGAGAATTTTCCCTCTGGACCTGCATAGAAAATGGTGTCCTTCCTCTTCAGTTTTGCTTTTGTAGTTTGAGCAACATGGACTTGTTTAGAACTCCCAAATGTTCTGACATCAAAACTTTTYGGAGGCAGCCTTCTGCAAGGCATTGAAGAATCCAGGACTAATAGGGTTTATTRCTCATGCAAGCAGCTACATAAAATTATTGGAATTGTTTATGAGTATCTGTGACCAATGCCAAAAGTTCTTGCCTCCTGCTAGAGTGTAAACACACAGGAGACTTTAAGATGTCAGCAGTGCAAGTCTACAGTTATGCTGCATTGTTATGAAAAGCATGAAGATGGAAATAACCCTGAGAAAGTACTGAAAAATAAATAAAGATGGTGGTGCATGTCACGAGGGAATCTACAGGATGGCAGGGCACTTGGCAGGTCAAAGCCAACAGCAAATTCAAGATTCTGCTATGCTGGTCCATTCTGGAAAAAAATGGTGTTTCCATTGGTGTGTCCATTTTTTTTTCCAATTTTAACAAGTTGTCTAATAAAAAGTACTGAGATATTGCTTCTACTATACACAGATTCCTCTCTTTTAACTACTTCTGATAAAAGCTACTACAACACACAAGTAAAACTCCCTTCACAAAATTAATATAAAAGTTAAATTCATTCACCTGTGTATAGGAGAATGCACTTATACACAATGTAAAAATATGACCATAATAAATAATGTCATTAACAMAAAACATTCAGCACTGCCTTATTAATTAAAAAAATAAAATTAAAAAAAATAAGAGCAGCTGGGAGGTAAGGTTATAACTGTTACAGGCATTCATCCTTACTTCTTTTAATGCACTGAACATAAACTCCGTTCAGATTCATTAGACATAGAAATAGTTACTTAAAGCACATACATTCCTTGTGAAAATATCTGCTTTCTACTTCATATATTAAAAAAATAAAAAGCATGTGCAGCTTCACCCTGTATTTATACTATTTCACTAACATTTCGATCCATAGATAAACTGTCCCAATTAGGTGCTATCTTGAAGAAATATTTCTTGGCATTTTTCAGAAATATGTTTCTGAAATGTCCCAGATGAAAAGATTATTGCCATCAAGAAAAATCAGCTTGAAATTTATTGTTTCACCATTCTTTTTCCAAAATGTTTCCTTCAGAATACACATGTATTATTAAACATTTTCTCAGTTTGCAGAAGAACAGAGCCATATAAGCTTGTCATGCTTCTCCCTGTGGAGGGGCCACTTTCCTTTGCATCTATAAGGAGACAGCTATACAGATGAAAGTAGTGGCTTTCATTTAATTTCAGGTGTGTTTGCTGTTTGGTGCTCAAGGAGATAATCTTAAAGATTCAAGATCAGCTAGGGATTTTAGTTGTCTCTGCTCAATAGATATTTGAAGTTGAAATTTGCAGCTTTCTTCTCCTCGGAGGAATACATTCATAAGGAAAATTTAAAATTCTTTGGTCAAAATCAAGGCCTTTTTTCMCGAACATCTCTAATTTAGTATATCCCCTGACAAACTGTGAATAACTCTTTTTCTTTCACAAAGCAGAAATGATTAGCAAATTCTGTGTAAAACATGCTCTAACTGTGAACTGTACTGCTTTACTAAGCAGCCTAGCCTGCAGATTTCATACTTATATTCTCACCAAGTTATACAATTTTGCAAATACCTGACTGGTAAATATCACATCACATCCTAGAACAACATCAGTAAGGGTCTCCAGGGCTTCCATGAGGCCACATCTATGTTCTACCCTTGTTTTCTGCTTTTTCCCCTCAATTAATTGCTCGTTATGTGAAAGCCCATGGGATTACTTTAAGAAAAGTGAGGTTTTGTGAGAGAGGTTAGCATTGCTTTAGACACGGTGAGTATTTGTGAATGAGGTATTTTTTCTTTTCTCAGATGAATAAAAAAAGTAATTTAGATTTTGCTACGATAAGGGCAAACTGCAAGGCAGTTTTCATGCAATCTTTTCTGTCATGTGCTCTGTGATAACTGCAACCTTGAGTCACATTAGACAGTCTATGCCCCATTTCTCTTCTGAACTTTAAAGCAGTGAAGGACTCAGCCTCCTGTATTATAGATTTTCTAGCCCTGTTAAGCTTCATGTGGAGATGTGTCATGTGGGAGTTCATATAAAATCAAACAGAAATACCATTTTAGCAGGGATGATTATTTGCTTTTGTGCTGGAGGACATATTTATAATATATATTGCAGTTATATATAAACATTGCAAACCCAGGCCATTTCTTAGTGAAGTCAAATTTCCTGTTTCTAGGCTTTTGTTTCCCAGACAACCAGATGTCAAGACTGACAAACTATGGAAGATAGGCTAATTCCTAAATATTATATCCTTGGTGTGAGGTTTTGGATAAACTCTTTATGTTAGCTGATAGCAATAACAACTGAAGTATGACCCACAGCAGAGGTGATAAATCGAGCTGAAGTTGTGACATTTGCCTGAATGAGTTTCTTTAGAAGTAGACATCATAACTGATAACTTAGGGAAAAGCCGAATATTCTTTTGGAAATCTTACCAAGAAACCACCAAGGCCAGAGAAATACAGATAGAAGTGGGCAAGTCAGTAACAGAATAACTAGGAGCACAGTCCTGAGGAGCAGATAGGACCTTTCAAACTTTACCCCACAACTTAGAAAAAATGAGTAAATCACAAAAGTAAATCACATGAAAACTCTAGTGTATTTCTCTTTCAGCACATGCTGGATATACTTCCTTTAATTTTTCTAACGGTTGAGAAGAAAGAGATATTTAAACTTTGCGGAAATAAGTAAACTTAAATGTTTCTTCCTTTTGTTTGTTTTAGTGTGCAAAAGATGGAAAGAAAAAAGTGAATTTCTGAAGAAACACATTGTTTTGGATGACAAGTCTGCACCAAGCAACCTACCAGAGCAAACTTTCTACGTTCTTAAGTATCCTAACAAACAGCTAGCTATTAGATTGATACTACCAATCAGTTTAGCCTGCATGTGTCTGGGCATTAACAGCTGTTCTAACGTGTTTTTAATCGACTTATGCATATGAAAATTCTCTAAGCTATGATTAATCAAAACTAGTCTCATTTACATGGAAGCTTCGGAGTGTGAACAGGATGGATGCCCATGTTTAGCTAATTCCCTTGCTGCTGCTGCTGTTTTAATCTGCATTTTGCTTTTAATAGAGCAATAACAGCTCTCTGGTTCCTAAGACTCAAAAACCTACAGTCCCTATTTTTGCTCCTTGAAGGGGAAAAAATACTGTTAGAGTGCAAAACAGTAAGCTTTCTTCTTTGAAGAAAGGCATTACATCAGTCTATTGAAAACTGGCCATCTTCATTGATCTTAAAAATGTCTAACCTTGCATTCTCAACTGCTTTTTCTGATGATCTATATTGCATATTTGTAACAAGTAACAAAACACAAAGATAGAGACAGTTTTGCTTTGAATGGCTGCTTTTGCTAATAGGTGTAATTAATAATAGGTATCCTTATTTTCAGAGTGAAAAAGCAGCCCTAAACAATTGCTGTAACATGACGTGTTTGCAGTAAAACAGTGCTTACCTCTTCCAGATTGCCTACACAAGTCAGACAACTAAAATCTTAGCTAAAAGTGTTAGCCCCACTAAAGCGTGTAAAGATCTCCTCCCAAAAGAATCAGTATTTCCTCTCMCAAGGCTGGGAGCCTACTCTTCCCTGCTCTTCAGGGCTGTCAGGAACATAGCATAGAGATTTCCAATTTATCCCTGGGGAAACTATATCTAGAACGTGAGGCAGTGTTTCAACCTGATTTCAAAAGAAACCAAACATTCTGCCTCAGAGACCCCATGTCTTTCTGATTCATGCTCTGCCATATGGCTTCTCAGATGAACTAAAGCAACCCTCATTTCTGGATCTTGGGGTTAAATTGTGCCAAACTATTGACCACAGTTTATCCAGTTGCCACTTTGGGAAATTATGATAATAGGAGTATCGGTCAAATGAACAGATGACTCATCTGTCAACCACAACATGAACTCTAAGGACTAATAGCTCCAGGACATGGTCTGGAGAAATCTTTGCAGGGAGGTCAAAGTTCTCACTCCTTTTAACAGAACAGACTGGGCAACCTAGATTCAAGTACATCACACCTCATCCTGACTAAAGATTAATGCTCTGAGACCCATAGAAAGACCTTGTGGATGAGAGGCACATGAGCCTTATGGCCAGTATTCAGAAACCTGTTCAAGTTCATTTTCACATTACAAAATAAATATTGGCATTGCTTTATAATCTTCTTTAATTTAGCTAAGGAAAAATAAAATGGAGGTCTTAATTTTAAAAGGATATTGGATTCCCCATAAAGAATTGTCTTTTATTAGAAGGAAGGCATGAAAAATTACCAATAGACTAAAACAACATAGGTAGTAATGACCAATATAGAGAGATTCCAAAAAGTCTCATAAAAAAAGATCTGGTTGACTGTTTTCTCAGCAGAAAACATGGAGAGTAATGTTACTGCTTCTAAGAAGTTTGGTGGGAAATCACTTTGATTCCATTAAAGGCATAATGARGATGAAGAATAAATAACAGGGCATGCTTATGGAAAGGCAGAAGTTTGGAAGACGACAAATTTCACAAGAATGGGAGTGAGGCTTTTAGCACGTGCCACATCTGCCTTAGAAGTATTTTAAACAGGAAAGATCCTAACACCAGAATTAGAATTGTCTTGTACATGCGAGAGGAAACTGCAGGAAA